ATAGATGGTTATATATGTATTAAATAGATGGTTATATATATATATATATGAATTAGATGGTTATATATATATGAAATAGATGGTTATATTTGTATTAAATATATGGTTATATATATGAAATAGATGGTTATATATATATGAAATAGATGGTTATATATGTATTAAATAGATGGTTATATATATATGAAATAGATGGTTATATATGTATTAAATAGATGGTTATATATGTATTAAATAGATGGTTATATATGTATTAAATAGATGGTTATATAGATATTAAATAGATGGTTATATATATGTGAAATAGTTGGTTATATATATATTAAATAGATGGTTATATATATATAAAATATATGGTTATATATGTATTAAATAGATGGTTATATATGTATTAAATAGATGGTTCTATATATATATGAACTAGATGGTTATATATATATATTAAATATATGGTTATATATGTATTAAATAGATGGTTATATATATGAAATAGATGGTTATATATGTATTAAATAGATGGTTCTATATATATATGAAATAGATGGTTATATATATATATTAAATAGATGGTTATATATGTATTAAATAGTTGGTTATATATATGAAATAGATGGTTATATATGTATTAAATAGATGGTTATATATATATTAAATAGATGGTTATATATATATATGAAATAGTTGCTTATATATATATGGTAAATGGATGGTTATATATATTAAACGGATGGCTATATATATATTAAATAGTTGGTTATATATATATATTAAATAGTTGATTATATATATATTAAATGGATAGTTATACTGTATATATTAAATAGATGGTTATATATATATTAAATAGTTGGTTATATATATTAAATCGTTGGTTATATATATATTAAATGGATAGTTATATATATTAAATGGATGGCTATATATATATTAAATAGTTGGTTATATATATATGAAATAGATGGTTATATATATATAAAATAATATAAATATATGTATATATACATATATAAATATATATATTGTGTGTATATGAGCTGTGTGTCGATTTTTCTCTTCTGGTTGATTATTAACTGACAAAACAGGCGACAGGTTTAAAGTCCAGCTGAGTGTCCACATAACTGATAACTGTGTGTACGGAGTACACACAGTACACACAGTTACACATTCTACTTCCTGTTTACAGATCAGCTGATAGTGACGATGTTTCTCAGGTGTAAATGAGTCAGCGAGGTGAAAACAGTGATGAGTCTCTTGTAGAGTGAAACGTTGAATCAGCAGAAAAGAGTCCTTCATGTTAGAAAGTCAAATCCTCGACAATTAAAAGTTAAAAAGTTAAAATTAAAAAAGCAAAAATTAATAAATACTGTAAAGTTTGTGAATTAACCTGCTGCATCTTTTAACTCTATTCTGTCTGATGGGTATCATTAGTGTTTTATCAATACTCTTATCAATACTAGGACTCTTATTGGTTCTTTTTGATTATTTTGTGAGAAAAAAAGACAATTTATTCAGAAAAGAATCCACATTGTTTTATTATTCTTGAATATAAACAAATAGTCTTTATTGAGCAGCAACACCAGGAAACAAGAAGAAGGAAACAAGAAATAGCAAGAAACACAACGCAAGTTCTAAAATCTTTAAACTATTCTCATCCAATCAATAATCTCAGTGATTATCTTTCATTGATGATCCTGTGTTTCTGATTAAACTCTGTATGACATCACTAACATATGACATCACCACCGTTACCTGATGGCTGCTCCACAAACAGGTTGATTTTCTGCTTGTTGGTCACTTGTTGTGATAAACTTACTTGTGAGGTGTGTTGCTAAGTTCACCTGGTGTGTTTTCTTTCTCCTGCAGGTCACGTGACTTCTCGTGGAGGCGGGGTTTGTTCCAGCAGTCAGGAGGTCTGAGGAAGAGGTTGAAGGTAATCATGGGAGATGGAGGACCCCTGCAGACCGAGGGTAACGCCCTCCTCAAGGCCGTCTTCCAGGGAAAGCTGCGGTTGACCCGCCTGCTGCTGGAGGGCGGAGCTTACATCAACGAGGGCAACGAGCGCGGAGAGACGCCCTTGTCCACCGCCTGCCTGGCGGCCTACGACGACCCGCAGACCCGGCAGAGGATGGTGAGGTACCTGCTGGAGAAAGGCGCCGACCCCAACATCCCCGACAAGAGCGGCAGGACGGCGCTGATGCATGCCTGTGCCGAACAGGCGGGGAAGGAGGTGGTATCGCTCCTGCTGGAGAATGGAGCCGACCCGAGCCTCAAGGACTACTCTGGCTCCTCCGCCCTCGTCCACTCCATCAACAAGGGGGACCGCGACACCCTGCAGGTGCTGCTGGATGCCTGCAAGGCCAAAGGCAAGGAGGTGATCATCATCACCACCGACACGTCTCCCTCCGGCACCAAGAAGACCAAGCAGTACCTCAACGCACCCCCGTCGCCGTGCATCAAGGGCAAACTGTCGGCTTGCATGTCCCCTTCCGAGGTGGAGATCGGCACCTCCTCCTCGCCGGCGGAAGACCCGAGCAAAAACCAGGTGGAGCGGATCTTCAACTTCGCACTCACCTCGGCTTTGCCGTTACCTTCGGCTCAACCTCCGGGAGAAAAGAGGCCACCGCCGCGCAAGCTCCTGAAGAGGCTGAACTCGGAGCCCTGGGGCCTGGTGGCGCCCTCGGTCCTGAGCGGCGTCCCTCAGGAGAGGGTGGACAGCGGTCTACAGGAGGAGGGGGGATGGGACCTGAGCAGGACTATCGCTGAGATCAACGGCCTGTCCATCGCCGAGCAGCAAGGGAGACCTCTGTTGTCGCGGCGACACAGCATTGAGACCCACGACCCTTGCTCCCCAAAACTAATCGACCGGTCCTGCTCCGAGGACTACGTGGCACTCTCTGGTTCCTCCTGGGCCGACAAAGTCCAGCAGCATCAGATCCTGTACCGCAGGAACACAGCGCCAGAGTCCGAGGAGAACGCCGGGGCGGTCGCGACTCGCGCCCTGGCTCACCCGAAACTGACCCGGATGGAGCACTACGAGTCGGACACTCACCTTTGCCCAGAGTCCATCCCCGGTTCTCCGGACTCTGGTCGGGTGTCCGTGGAGCGGAGGAGGTACAATGCCTCCCCCTTGTCCCTGGTCACCAGCTCCTCCAGGGAGTCTCTGGAGAATATCCCCAACTCGGTGTCCCCCATCACGGTGCGCAGGCGACCCCCGGGGCTGCTGGAGCGCCGGGGGTCTGGGACCCTCCTCCTGGACCACATCTCCCACACCAGACCCGGTTTCCTGCCGCCGCTCAACATCAACCCCCAGAGACCCATACCCGACATCCGGGCCAACGGCAAGCCCACATCGCCTGTCCACAAGATCCTGGTCCCTGTGGCCCCCACCTCGCCCAAACGGGGCCCCGACTTCAAGACGAAGAAGAAGCTGATGAGGAGGCACTCGATGCAGACGGAGCAGATGAAGCAGCTCTCCACCTTCCAGGAGATTCTGGCCGAGAAGGTCGTGGAGTCCCACGGGGATTGATGACGGGGAGGAGCAAAGCATGATGGGATATAGCTTGCAGAGACTTTTTTTTTAAGGGTGGTGATTTACTGTGAAGCTTATCCATCAGATAATTTTAAAAGCCACGTCCTGGTCTTCATGAAGGGCTGCACCAACGAGGAGGTTATTCAAACAGAGAAATAGGGTTCAATTAGAGTTTTTAAAGTTTTAAATTTGAGTCACAATTTTAAATTAGGACCTCTGGTTCTGAGGTTAACAATCAAATATAACTGTTAAAGAATCTGTTTCAACAATGCTGACTTTTAAAGCGTCACTCTTCTGTACTCTTAGAGTCCCCCCAGAGACCAGACCGAACCTTTTCAGCTGACTCAGCAATTCTAGATTCTAAACGAGAACCAATCACGGCTCAAAACAACTTAAAATCAACCTTCAGAGAAGACCAACACATCCAGCATTCCTTTATTTCCTCTTATTTCCTAAAAAGCTGAACGTCTTTCAGATCAATAAGAGAAGTCGTTGCAGCTCTCCAGTTTTCCAGGAAGCTTCTTTTCCGGGTCAACGATCGGTTTACAAAAACATTCCTGATGCTTCCTCATCATTAAACTATAAAAAAGAAGATATATAACCTGACTTGTTTGATGTTTACAGATGCACAATTTTGCACTGAGGTCCATTTTTTTTCTCACGGTGACGAATGAAAAACATGAACCTTCTTCTGGACCTGAAGTTCAACCTGAAGATGGAACTCTTGAAAACAAACTGTCATCTTCTCATTAATGAAGCTAACATATTTATATTTTAATTGATAAGCTCCTGTTCTGATTGAAGAATGTGACGACGTGTGAAACTACCTACTGCGCTGTATGTGCTCTACTTAATCCACTATTTCAGTGTAAATGATGCAGAGTTCCTCTGAATGAATCCTCTTCATTTTACTGTTGAGAGGGACGTTTGAAATGTCCACCCTGGCGATGTTTCCGTACTTTAACCGGGGTGATGTTTTGATCTGATTTGTTATTGAGATAAACTTAAAATGGTTTTCTTCTTCGTAAAATTCCAAAGAAGTCGTGTGGACGATGTGAACCAAAACCTGCTGAGACTGTAAATACTGTAAAGTTGAGCCTGTATTGTAATGTCAATGCTGAAGCACTTCATCTGGTTGGACTCAAGGGGGCGCCGAAGGACACTTAAAGGAACAGTCCCATGTTTTTATTTTCTGTTTCCAGAACAGAAATAATGATGCATAAAGACCTACAGGTGCTATATATACCAGAGTGGGAGTGTTTTGATTTGCCTCAACATAATAACAGCGCTAACTGCTAATGCAGCTAGCAACTAGTCATTAAATAGTTGGTTTTATATATATATATATATATATATATATATATATACATATACACATATACATATATACATATATAGACATATACATACATATATACATATATATACACATATACATACATATATACATATATACACACATATACACACATATACACATACATATACACACATATACATACATATACACACATATATACACAAATACATACATATATATACATACATACATATATATACATATATATATATACATACATATATATATACACATACATATATATATACATATACACATACATATATATATACATATACACATACATATATGTATATATATATACACATACATATATGTATATACATACACATACATATATACATACACATACATATATATATATACATATACACATACATATATATACATATACATGTATATACATATACATATACATGTATATACATATACATACACATATACATGTATATACAAACACATACATGTATATACATATACATACATGTATATATATATACATACATGTATATACATATACATACATGTATATATATATACATGTATATATACATGTATGTATATATATACATGTATGTATATATATACATATACATGTATATATATACATATACATGTATATATATATATACATGTATATATATATACGTATATACATATACATGTATATATATACGTATATACGTATATATACGTATATACGTATATATACGTGTATATACATATACACGTATATATATATACATGTATATATACGTATATACACATATATACATATATATACATATATATACATATACATATATACATATATATACATATATATACATATACATATATACATATATATACATATGTACACATATATACATATATACATATATACACATATATACATATATACATATATAAACATATATACATGTATATACATATACGTATATATATATATATATACATATACGTATATATACATATATATACATATATATATATACGTATATATACATATATGTATATATATATATATATACACATATACGTATATATACATATATATACATATATATATACGTATATATACATATATATATATACATACATATACATATACATATATATACATATACATACATATATATATATATACATATATATACATATACATATGTATATATACATATACATATGTATATATACATATACATATATATATATACATATATATATACATATACATATATATATATACATATATATATACATACATATA